AATTGCAGACATTCTATATAAAGAGAACGTTTCGTCTGCAAAAAAATACCCCAAATTATATGGTCCATATAGAGACTGGTTAAATGTGACTAATGATTTGGTTATTATGTGACAGAAAAATGTAACAACGAAACTGAGTATTGAAGAGCACAGAAATTTTGTGAAAAGGGCAAGAAACAGTATCTCTAGCGATGTGTATAGTAAGCTGAATTATGATGTAGGTGTCAATAATTGCCTTCGCTCGATGTCGATGAAACCGTACTAATACTGAATGGTTCCATCTGAAGATTGTTAATAGCTTTTATTAAAAATATATTACAATATGGGCAAAAGATTATTTGTGAAGATTTTCAAATTAATTTATTTGAAATCTATTATTTTTGTTAGAGTAATTTGATTTAATATTTCTATTGTATAATTGAGTTTATAAGTAATAATATTTATTTAATATTTATGATAAGTAGTTAATAGATAAATCTAAACTTCCGGCAGACAGCTAAAATGCCATAGCTGTAAACATTATATAATATATAATAACTTGTTATAAATTTCTGTGTAATATAACGAATGAAATAAAGTAAAGCTAATAATGCGAAAACTATTACTACTAGCAATAAATTAAATTAAAGTAGTTTAGTGAGAATAGATTTAAATGGTGCAACAAAGCATATTTCCACTTATTAATAATATATTCTACAATTAATAATTTTATAATTCTCATTTAATTTGGTTCATTTAATGTATAAATTAAGTATTTGGATATAACTTAATTGAATTTAATTTAATACATATTTTTATGGCCTAGAAATATAGACGCTGAAAGTTTAATTTCCAGTACGCTAATTGTAGGTTTATCTATATTTCTAAGAATTCATGTTTGCTTTCGAATGTAGTACATTTTTGAATCTCGTATTTCTAACAGTTATTGCATTTATCGGCAAGAACTATTGTATGAATATTACTATTAATGACTAATGTGCAACCATAAAACCGCTGGCTTAAACCTTAAGTAAATTTAGTCTATCCAGTTCAAGTACGTACGACATTATTAAGTTAGATGTTAATTAAAAACTTTTAGTTTAAATATATATATAATTTTATCATTAATTATTTTATTTATTATAAGAGAATTTGCTGTTTTAATATTGTACAACTTGGGTCTATATGCGTACTATATTGTTCTGGTGTTTTAAGTGCTGTTCGATATTTTTGAAAGTTAATTATGTTGTTCATCAGTTTGAGTTGCTTTTGGAGAGTATATTTTTGAAAACATGAGCAAGTATTTTTTGCTTGACAATTTTTTTATTTTGTCAGTTAGATAAGATAATGTCAATAGCAATAATATTTTATAAAGAAAAAATATACTTAATAAGTTTTATTGTCGTGAACATACTATGAAATGTTGGTGTCCTTAAAAAAATGCTCATATAAAAATTTTGATATTCGAATGTTCACAAGAATTCAAGTACCACAATATGTTAAGGCTTAGGGGACCATAACGGTATGTTTGCTCTTTATGGAGCTTAATGGACAGTGGCGTCAAGATTAATGCAATCATCTGGAATCACCTTAAAAAAGTCTTGAAAGGGAAACCCAACAATGTTTTGTACAATCCTATCAAGCATACATTAGCCAATTATGGTCTCAGAATAGTTCCTTATTGAAAAAGGGAGATTATTTTTTATTTAGAGAGTGAGTAGCAAAATTGAGTAAAATTGAAAAAGTTTTTTAAGAATTATTACACATGCATTTGTATATGCAATTGTTTGCATATTATATTATAAAAATATTAAAAGCATAACATTTTCTTTTCGTAAAGAAACAAATCGCAAAAAAATGAAATTCAGACTTTTCAATATATTTAAACATTAGACAACTGTTTTTGTTCCTTACAGTTTGAAATTCAGTCACGCAATGCACTTAGGAAATAGAAAAACAAAAGCTACAAATTATTTTTCTTTTTTTATTATTGTTTTTTTTTTAGGAATTTCAAAAACGTTCAATTCATCGTCGCCCACGACGACCAAGTGCCGTTCGACACCTTCCAAAAGGACTTCAGCAGCAGATTCCAGTACGTTTCAATAAAAATAATTTTTAGATAACAATCACTTAACGATCTCCCAGATGTGTAATAAGGGCGTATTTAAAGTAAAACTTCCCAAAAAGAAACCTCAAAGCGAGTAATAAATTACGCATTTTGAGCATTAGAGATAAATGAATTCCCTAAATGCTACTAGAATATTTAAGCAATTCTATTATAAACAATATCTTATAGTTTCTTGTTCGATTCTAATAAATGTAAGCGTTCTATAAAATTTTATTTGTGAATCTAATCCTAAGAAGTTTAATAATAATGTAATAAAAATTATGTCAGAGATCAAAATCATTGATCGTCCGTCACTTCTATATGGTTGTGTAGCGTTTAGCAAAGCTTCAAACACTACTATTCACCAATTAGAAATTGCACAAAGTCAGGCTCTAAGAAGACTTTTCAAAGTTCCTTGGTATATTAGGACGAATGACATCCTTAGGGACCTCAAGATTGATCCCATCAAAAAATACATAAAAGATAGAGCCTTGCAATTATTTGCGAAATCTGACAGACTTACTAACACCGCGTTATCAAATCTCAGAATAGTTACAGGCTCCTCGGGGAGGTATGCAGATCTGAGATCAATTATTACTTAGTCTGATGATGAGATAAATAATAATCCAGTCAAGGCACAAAGAGGGGTTTTGAAGAAACCTCGCAGTTAATATAGAGTAAAAGTACTCAGGTGCACTAACTCAACTTTCCTCAACATAATAATAATATATAATAAAGAACCTATTCTATTCTATTCTATTTTAAAGTTAAAAAATAAAAACAAATATTTTTTCTTTTTTTTGTGATTTTATTTATTACAAATCTTTCCGAAAGCAAGTTTAAACTTATGCTCAAAAACAAAATGCAACATTTTTCCTTTCATCCACAGTAAAATATAATAAAAATATTAAAACATTAAATTTTTATACCTAGTTTACATTTTCCAATATTTTATATTCAACAATATCATATAATTCAATTTGTTAAATTAAGCGTATAAACATGTTCTTCAAAAATTGTTCTTACAATAATTTTTTCTTAATAAAAAAGTTTGATTTGCTTTGTAGTTCCTTTTAGTGTATAACATTTTTATGCTAGTTGTTGTTGTAGTTACATTTTACATATATACCTCATACATTATATAATATATATTGAATAACTTATATTTTTAATTCGTATCCCATAAATTTACACCTTTATAAAGTCTTTAGATCCAAGTGTTTATTTATATTCTTGAAAATTTTTTATATAAATATTTAAAATCACTGAAGGCCACATCTAGAAGTTTATATATTTAAATTTTATACTCATTACATATTGAACGACGTTTTGGTAACGTTCGTTTAACTTCTTATTTTCTTTGTTATTTATTAGTTATATTTGAATTTTAACTTAAATTTATTTACTAGACACTCACTCCAGAAGCATACCACCGATAGACGGCAAAGGATTCAGGACTCAACTTTGACTTAGCTAGGATCAACAGCTAACGTAAATGTGATAAACAACATTTGACTAACAACAAGGCAGACGTTACTTTCAAAATAATTTTTAAAAATTTTATATGAAAATTCGTATTAATGAAATTCTTTTCATTATTATACGATCAATTGATTAATTTATTAACTTGATAAAAAGGCAAAAAATAATAAGAATAAAATTTTAATTGCAAAGTAAAAAATTCAATTTAACAACAAGGCATCAATAAACGTCCAGAAGGACTCGAATTTATACAAAAAAAAAAAAAGTTCCTTTAAAGGTTACATATATTCAATACCAAACTCTATTCGCGACAACTTTCAAGACATTTTCTTTTTTATATAAAATTTGTTTCTTTATACAAACAATTAATATTCTTAAATAATTTTTAGTTAACTAACTAGCATTTTTTTTTTTGTTTTTTTGTTAAAAATAGTGCCAGTTATGTTTATAAGTTATTTATTAGCAAAGATATAAATTTTAAATACTTATATATCTTTTAGCTTGGTATGTATATTATTTAGTATACAAGTACTCGGTATGAAAAACATTTGTAACTAATTTTTGTGACCAAACGATATAAAAGGGTTTTTTGTTCTAAATACATTCAGTATTGAATATTTTGAAAAGTTATGAGAATGCTAAGAAATACTGATGAGTATAGCGTGAACTTAACAGAAGTAACGTTTTTGAATGATTAAATGACACCTAAAATACATCTACTACAAAAATTTAGATAAATTTCATTATATGAATAACGTATAAGCTACATATTTACTTAAGGCACTGACTCATTGGAGCAGTTTGGAGATACATAAACTCTATATGCAAGATATTACCGTTAGATACATATATTATTATTAATTTACATATTGTGTTCACATATTATGTTATGTTATTCGTTACTTGCAGTGAAACTGACATATTTTTTTCTTTTATATATTAATGAAAAATTAAAATGATTATTATTTAATGACATTCTTTAATGATTTAAATAAATACATATATTCGTATAACGACATCATTGAGATAATTTTGAATAGAATACTAACTAAACTAAGATAATGCAAAAATACACATACATTTTATTATTAAGAAAATAATATTAATAATAATAATAATAACAATGTATATATTTGCAAAATTTAAATAAATACTTTTGGTTAAAGTTCAAGGAACAGTTCATACAACTATACTAAAAACTATAAGCATTAATAAAAAAAGAATATCTGTGCTATCTGACCCTAAAATTTATACATATAAACATTTATAAATCCATAAATCTGATTATGACCACACATACATCGTTAATTACATTTATATATATAAATATGTTTTATTTTATCTGATGTACACTTAAATTTCGAAGTAAAATGTTCGAGTTTATTTTTGTTGTTTATGTATAGTTTTAATTTTTTTCTTGTTTTTTTTTTATTTGCGCTTGAGTAGTTTTGGCAAAGTTGTGTTTTCAAAACCAACTAAATCATCGTAATTTACTCTTCGAGCATAATACGATAGCTCGGAGCAGTTGTTTCCATATTTGTTGCTGAATTTATACTTCCGAAGGATGATTGTGATGCCGACGGACGCACTGGAGAATAGTTGGTAGTAGACTGGTTGATTGTTTCGTCAGGATGGTAGCTTGTAGGTTTGGTGGGTGATATTCTATTTGTTCTTCGACGTGCATCATGCATCACGCCTACATAGAAAAACATAAGCAAATAATATACATTAAAAATTTGTGTATTATATATAAAACTAAATACAAAATAAAATAATACCGTAACACAATCAAAAAGTAAAGGAGTAATAAAAAATTCTATGCACGTAAAGTATTAGAAATTTTTTAAAAATATTTTTATGCTACATTTTGTTATTTTTTATTTATTTATTTTTTTTTTTTTTTTGAACATCCTTTTTGGATATGAATCTTAACTATTTGTTAATTTATTACTATTGCTGAATTGTACCTAATAGATATTAAGTAATACCTGTGCGGGTTTACTGAATCAGTGTTCAGCTCTCATAGGTAACACTTATGTGCTTTAACTATTATTAGAGCTGCTCATAATTTCGAGCATTTCGAGCATTTCGAGCAATGTTTAAGTACAGACAACTCACATATATAGATATGCAAAACTATACAAAAGAATTTCCGCTAAAACTTACATATCGTCATTGACACATATAATACGAATCAAAAAAGTAATACTTTTAAGTATAAGAGAATAAAATAGTGAAGCTGTTCGATAAACAGGAAAGATAATGCATATCTGTCTGGTGAGTGTATAAATTCTAAAGCGGAACTTTTCAAATATATATATATATAAATTTTAATAATTGTTTTTTATATATTTCAATTCCGGTTACAGGTCACCTTTTTTTTAAATTAAACGTTTGTATAATATTTTGTAATATATTCTATATTTCGACTCTACTTGAGGGCAATCATCAGGATCAGAATTCTAAAATGCATAAACATTAATTAATTTTAATAAAATATACATCCATACGTCAGGATTTTTGGTTCCGTTGTCTATATTGCAAATTATATATATAATTTAATGTGCTAATAAAATAAACTTCTATTAAGAAAAAGTTATTTACTATAAAATCACTGTTGACTTTGTGATTGGTAATTATATATATGCTCAATATCTATATAAAAACAGTCTATAGTTCGAGTATGCTTTATATATTCAAGCATTTATTTAACTCATTTCAAATTGCATTTGGTGGCACAGCAAACAATTCGAATATGTGTAAAAAAAGGCCGGGTCTAAATCCCGGAGCCACTCGTCGAGTTCAATCTACCAAAAGAGATTTCATAAGCAGATCTCTGCGGGCTACAAGAATAGCAACAATATGTTCCAACACATTTATATACCAAAAAACGAGTATAAAATGAAACATAGAGAAGATTTGGTTTTACAAGTAGTCCGAATGTTAAATCGAATATTTTTTAACATTTAAAGATTTCGAATCAAATGCTGATTTCTTACCGAAATTTTTCGAACACCTCTTCAAATGCTATAAGGAGCAATAGCATTATTAAGATTAACTAGTAAATACTATTATTGGTGAATAGTCTATGGTGACTATTTCATTTTATTTATTCTACGTGCTTAAAATTTTTTTTACACCAAATTAGAATTTGTTATAATTTTTTTTATAAAATAATTTTTTTACTTTACTAATAATTTGTGGTATATGTGTAAGTTGCAATGTAATAATGTTTTTTAATAATAAAATGATATTTCAACATCTCAAAAAGCACCAAATGACCACATACTTATAAAATATGATTTAACATTTTTAAAACTGATACATAATGCTTAAAATAGATTGTTTTTGTTATTTTAAATTATTTAATAGCCAAATAGTATAGAATAATAATTAACAAATTTATTGAATATTTGTTCAACAACAAACACTTAAACAATCAAGACAGAAGGAACACAGCCTAATTTACCAATCAAATCATGAAGTTTAAAATAATAGAATTAACACAACTAAATAATAATAATAATTAAGAATGCGTAATTAAGCTTTTATCTCTACGAAAAATTTTTTTTTCTCTTTTCTTTTCAGTAATTTCATTTATTAAATTTTTATAATTAGAGCAGGTTTTTCTAATGATTCCATTTTCTTCAAGATAGTTGAGATTTTTTAATTTTGATTTAAAATTATTATAAGATGAAAATATATTCAAATAATTATTCGGAGCTCATAGGGAAAAAATATTTTGAACCACAGGATTTGATTTGTTGATTAATATATGCCTGATTTACAAAGAAATATTTCCGAGCGGCAGCATATATAAGAAAACTCTGAGAAGGAAGGAGTTGAGCAGAATGAAGTTCCAATGTATGAGTTTTTGTAGCAGAAATTCCTTTATTTTCCGCAACTTCTTCGCAGCGATTTATATTGTAATATCTGGTTGCCAACAAAAAGTTTGTTTAGGATAAAATAATTAGAGTTCTCAAAGAAATTCGAAAAAATAAGTTCAAATATATAAACTTTTGTAACAGAAATTTCTTTATTTTCCACAACTTCGTCGCTCTGAACCAGACATCACAAGCAAAATTGCGAGCAACAGAGTTGCAGAAGAATTCTTAGAGAATTTTTAGGCAATATCGCAGAAAGTACCTCAGTTGACTTTTAACATATATCACATCAAATTTTTTTCCAAATATCCAAATATTTAATTTCGTGCAACCACAGATATATATGTATTTAAAGTTTTAATCATATATAATTTAAAACAAAAAGAAACAATAACAAATAAAAGAATAAATCAGGAGAAACAAAGAACTGGAATAGATTTAAAACAATAAGAATTTGAAATAGTGCAATAATAATAATTTTTTTTTTCCAATAAAAAATGTGCAATAAAAACTTCAACTCTTTAACTGTGAATCTGTGTAGAAGTGTTGAAATGTGTAGATAGAATATAGTTTACGAATATAAATTTTTTAATCCAGTGTTCTGTGTATAAGAAGTCGTGTAGTTACTACAAACTACGTAAAATGATCTACGAATAGGTGTATAAATAGGCATAATACTAAGTAGAGTAGAGACGCTTAAACAAAACTAAGTAGTAGAATACAGAACTATTGAAAATATAAAATAAATGTATCAAGTATAAATTATAATTTAATGACACTTGAAAAAAATATAGCAAACCAATAGCAAGAGGCAGGCATTAGGCATTAAGTAGGCACTCATTCCAAAATGATGTACTGTTAGCGTTTATAGCGTTTGGTTTGTTTCGGTTTAGTTTATTTATATTTAGTATTATGCTTTATTATTTTTTGTATGTTTATTTAAAATTTTTTCTTAAGACCGTTAAATCGGACTTAAAATCTTACAGTCGAGAGCGACGTCTCTTGCACTTTATAAGCTTGTCGCCGAAAATTTTCCAGTTTAACTTTATTCATTGGAGCACCTGAAATTGTTTTATAAATAAAATACTAAATACACATTTTACATATTAAATTTAATTTAAAGTGTAATACATAGAGAATACTACTTTTATAACACTAATCATAAGCAAATTTGTAGTACGAAAAAAAAAACTGTTTGTCATAGCCAGAGCCTAGGTTAAAATTTAAAGTTTCGTAAAAAAAATGTTGTACCCAAAGAAGCAAGACAAGATGTTAAGAATGGTCCAGTCCACGTCCCTGAGCCACTCGTCGAGTTCGACAATGAAGTGCCGTTCGCCACATCCAAAAGAAACTACACAAGATCCTTGTGATTTACAACAACAACAACATAAAAGGAAGCATGTTAGATGGCAAATACACAACACGCAATAACGGCCGGTTGAAATGCGAACGTTGAACTTGGTAGATCTGTTTATTATACCAATATGTATCGCAGTGCGTTATAGGCCACAATGAATTGTCTGATTGGTTGTGTTCAGTAGGGATTCTTTATAGCCTGTTATCGATTTAAGTACAATTTTATCATTCGTCAACCAACTGCTTTGAATTGCAGCACGTGTGAACAAGATAAACATATTATTAAAAAACATCCTAAGAGCACCGCAAGAAACAGTAGAAGAGTCATGAAAACCTCTGCACTTCAGTTCAAAAAGTAAAAAACTTATTACAGCTTTTGTTAATGGTATGTGGAGTTTCTTGACACCGAAGAAAGAAGCTATTAGGGTTAAAAACCAATATTTTTTATCCGGGCCAATGCAAGGATTGTCAATTAACAACATACGCCATGACTTTGACTCCCTTTGGGGAAACGATCGTCTAAAAATTAAAAAAGGAGGTTTACAAATCAGTCAAATCACAAAAAAAAAAAAAAAACAATGGACATCATTCGTGATTTAGATTTTTCAACATGAGATTCTCAGCATGTTTTGGGTGGTACTCTACGAAAACTATTGTAGCATTTTTTTAATTCATTTTGATGGAGCACGAACTGGACTATTGCCGGCACAGAATTTTAGATACTAGAAGAAATCTAAAAATAATTTATCACCAGACTGTCCGGCTTGAACAGACATATTCTTTGGCTGGAATTCAAATATTCGTATTGTCTGAAATACCAATAAAACTGATAAGACTATTAGATACTTAGACTGCAAGAATTTATGCATAAAGAAGGAATTAAATCAGGGCTTTAAAGTTTTACATAACTGTATTGTTTGCTACAAAAAAAAAACAATACTCGTCTAAAGTATTTATATTAAGATAGTTGAGTATATTTAAAGAAAATTGCGTTAACATCTAAAATTTTCTACAGAATATTCAACTGTCAGACTAAGATTAAAAGTCGTTGACACCTGCAGATTCTGTGTAATTCAGAATAAAACTTTCGTTTATCACATCTGCTCTTGAACCAAGATATCTTGTTATGTTCATCAATAATCTAAATTTATACGATTTACCTAAAAGACGCTCTCGAAATATCATATACAATTTTTACACGTAACGATGTGTCATTGCCATTTTGAATAATAGTAACGTCTATGCTACTACTTGATCAACAAGATAAGTCTGATAAAAGTGGTGAGATATAGTCTTCAATCTAAAAGTATGAAACTTCTTGTTATATTTTCAGTATATTTTCAGCTTTGCTACAAAAAAGAATAAACCTCTGGCTTTACCATGCTTCAATTGCTTTCGGTGCAGGAGGTCTGTCAAAATCAGTAGTATTTTTGTTACGTTAAGAGGACAAGTCTTTAGTTTTACAAAAATGTAATTCAATTCATAAATCCTTAAAGTGTGCTTAAAACTATTTTATATTAAATGTTACATATTTCTTTTAATTATATTGTAAAATATATATACTTAAAGATTAGACTTTTCAAATTATTGTTTGTGTATTTTACAAATTACGTATTACTATAAGTTATTTAATATTATTACTTACCAATATAGCTAAGTAGAACTGGTAAAAATATTAAACCATGTGCTGCACCAATTAAAACGATACCCAAGTACATTCTAAAATAGAAGACTTGGAAGATTTGAGACTTGGCGAATGCAAGTACTAATATTCCTCCAAATTTAGTTAACGTTATACCAGAAAATATAGAGCTACCCATTTTGGTAAGAGCATCAGCCGCACGTTTTTCGCGTGTACCCTCAACAGATATTGAAAAGCTGTGTACCAAATGTGAACAGAACTCCACTGAAATACCAACAGCCATTACGAGATTTACAAGCGATACTGCATTGAGAGATATATTCCAGTAATACATATTTCCACCTAAGTTGATCACAATCATTGTAATTGTTATGACAACAACTAACGAAGAATGTATGTCGAAACCCATAAGCAGGAATGTCACAATAAATATTGCCAGCACAGATATTCCCATACTTTGTAAAGTGTCTGGCCACATTGTTAGATATTGTTCATAGAATACATAAAAAACTGAATAAGGAAAGACTTCAACTTTGAGAGCTTCTTCCATAGGAACACCTTGTGACATTAAACGACCCTGCAACATGTGAGTAATATTCGCGGATATTTTACGAGCTGCACGTAACGCTTGATAATAATCAGCCGAAGTTTTAAGTATGGAATGATAAGCCATAAAATTAGATGCTTCAACATAAGATTGATTTGTGTGACTATCTATACTATAGCGTACTGAACCGCCATAAGCTGCATGTCCCGCTTTAGCGCAATTATCATCTGGATTGTCTTGTAGGAAAAATGGTAAATATTTACCAAAGTCTTCTTCAGTAGGTCGATGGTACTTATTTTTATGTATCGTGCATCGGTCGCAAGATGTATCTAAAACAAAAACAAAAATCGTATAGCGTAAAATATCTTTGAATTTATTATAAACTAATTCTTACCTTGATGAGGGCAAAAACCTCCCGTATTTGGATTGTATTTACAGCAGCTCATAATTTGACTCCAATCAAAATAATCATCAATCCAGCTAGAAGCGGGTTTTGCAATATATGTTAAATTAGAACGTCGACTTGCTAAATAAATTTGAGTTATTAGACTGTCACTGTTACAGAATTGTCCGGAACAAATTAAATTTTGATCGATTGTAGTGGAAAAATTGAGACCATTTTTTAGTACAAAAAAAACTGGAGGTCCAATATTCAGGTACTTATTTAATGATTTAAAGTAATGCAAAACAAAACTATCCTCAGGCATAGATAATTCTTGATTTAAACCAATATCGATTCTTGGTGCAATCGCAATACTTGAGCAAAGCCAACCGAAAAATACTATCATTATAATAATGCGTACTGTCTTTCGCATTAGGAAAGGCACATAAACGCTTTTAAAGAATTTGTAGAGTAAACCATCCGAGGCAAGGGGCACATCAGTCTTTTTGCCGCGAATACAGCAAAATATATCAAGACGATTTTCTGCTTGCCGTTTCGTATCAAGCGTTAATAAACTCACAAAACAAGTTATTTGGAGCAAAAAGTCAAATAAAAGTGCCATGCCAGCATATAATGCAAAAGCTTTTACAGCTGGCATATCAGAGAGACCACCAAGGAAAAAGCAACAACTTTCACTAACTGATGTCAATAACATTGAAGGGCCAACACGACCCAAAATCCGTCCTATGTGTTCTTCATGAGTTTCATCAGCACGACGTGGATCCCTTTGATACGTTTGCACAAGTATAAAAATATTATCCACACCCACTGCTAGCACTAAAAATGGAATTACTTCAACTATTATCAAAGTAGCTGGCACTCCAACGAAACCAAAAACGCCAACTGACGACACTACTGAAGCTAACACGATGATAACACCTCCAACACCAAGCGTTATTTTGCTATCAATTAATGCACGTCGCACATCTTGTACATGTCCCAACGAGATCGCAATATAAGCGAACATAATTAGATAGGATACAAGTATAGTTAAGACATCTGATTGTGATTCACGATTTAATTCATCTTCAATAGAACGTTCTGATGTAAAAGCAATATCCATATGCTTACTCATACGTGTTTTTGTATAGTTAACCATATATTCAACATATCGTTTTTCCCATTCCAACGCAGGCCTTAATTTCTCTTTGTCATGATGGTTTTTAACGAGAAATGTTAAAATTATTGCATTAGCCTGTTCATAACGTGTATTGCCTGATATCTGTTCTCCAGGTTTTAAGAAACCACCTAAGCCAATAGCAGGATCCACTGGACCACCAAAAGGTGCAAGACAAAGGTAGGGATTGTTTATGCACTGATAGATTTCATCCAGGTAAGTAACCTAAAACAGTAAAAATAAAAATATTACTACTATTATAAAATATAAAAACAATTTAAAACAAAATTTAAAGTTTTAAAACACTTTATTAAGAAAAGTGGCATCGACCATTGAAGTAAGTATATATGTTGTTGTTGTAGTAGCCAACTGTGATCAATAAAGCAAAGGAGGGTATAGTCAAGAAGAATTTGATAGAATTTATGGAAATGATTGGGTTAATTACTACCAAGTACTTTATTTATTTTATAAATTTACAATGTAGCCAATAAAAGTAAAATGAACTATTCTTAATAGCTATATTTATCTCTTTTAAGAACATATTAAAACTATTATTAGACATTAACTTTTTTATATTTTAGAATACTTTTTTCAAAGATATTACTTACATTGAAACCGTTTTCTTCACTTTTATCATCAAGCCGCTCAATATCGTCACCTAAATAGCCCCATATCGACTGCACCACACAATTCGATATTTCTACATCTCCTGCTAATTCCGATACTAATGGAGCATAGCAAATATCTGCCAAGGAAGTTCCATTATCCGCGCCAAGGGCTTTAATTTCTTCTTGAAGATTTAGGACATCTGTGAGGAATTGTCTATCAAACACAGGCCCAAAACGTATTGGACCATTCGATGTATCATGTACTATATCTGGAAGGTCCACAGCTCTAATAATAATCTATAAGTATTAAGATAAAAAATTGTAAGTATTAATAAATAAATACACATGTACTAAATATTTTTACTAAATATTATATAAACATAAAAATATTAGTAAATTTAAAGACCTGTTCTAATCTGAAAAATGGCTGGAAAGTTGAATCGAAATATTCTCTTTCTACGCGTGATCGAGACATTGGAGATGCCCATAATTTAACAGGATCGGTTGTTATATCCAAATATTTAATGCCACAGCCAAGTACAGCAACAAAACATATTCCTCCAACGAGTGTTAACCATGGAGATGATGCAAAAAATGTACCCCATGCTGTAAAGAATGCCTCTAAATACTTTTCGGTCTTTGCGCCTAGTTGATCGAAATAGCCAGATTCATTTTCGATCATTACATCGATACCATCATGATGAGGACCATCAACTTCATTTCCATCACCTGTAAATTGAAGTTTATTTTAAATTGTGCACAATAAAAATTCTTCAAATCTACAATTACAAAGTATTTTTGATCATTTACAAAAAACAGGCGTGAACTTAACTGTGCCATTAGAACACTTTATTTTTTTATTTAATGAAAAGAAACTATACAGGAAATGAAATCTTTTCTTTAAAAAACTTATTATAATTTTTTAATGTTAGTTTAATTTGTATTTGTTTGTTTTAATATAAAAATCTAAAAAGTAGGGTCATAGTTTATTTTATAACCTATCTGATGATGTCACCAAGTAAAGGGTTCTAACTATTGCTATAGCATTCAGATGAAACAGGCATTTAAGTCCAATAATGTGTACTAAATTATGACAATTAATTTAAAGATAAATCTATTTTGAAGAAGAGAATTTATACTTATTAAGAGATGTTATCCATTAAAAAGACAAGCTGCAAAGAATAGAGACTGCAAATAATATATGAAAAAGAGAGAAGGATAATAATAAACGATTCGTGCTTATAACACGAGTTACATATAGAGCTAAAAAGAAGATTTAAGACTTATGTGAGTACAGTTTAAGAAACGCTACTAACTCAATAAGCATGCACTCGGACGAGAATGGATGATATTCAGTATTTCTTAGACGTTTGTACTAAACCAGTGCAGATATGAACTCATTGAAGTTGAGTTGTGGATGACTATAAGTCTTCGTCTATAATCAACGATAGACTAGATTCATCGTTGCAAAAGAAATCGAAATATTTATATTAAATATATAAGAAATATATGAAAAAAGGGAATAACTAGTGAGGGAATTAGTTATTAGGGAATGGAAGTGATGGATATTTGGCGATATCACAAAACAACTGTATAGTTAGCCTAGAATTTACTTAATTGAAATTGAAAATTTCAATGGTTTTAATTAAATTAACAAATAATTTATTTCGAACAGAAAAGACATTAATAGTGAGAAAATTTTTAAATGCAAAAAACTTTTTTTTTTAATTTTTATTCAAGTGTATTCTAGATTTATCCAAAGACCACTTATGATTGGTATTTTGTGGTATCTGCAACAGCTGTATGATCAGCTCAAGAATTCAATTTATTAAAAATGAAAAAAAAAAACAATAGTTTTCATTAAAATTATTTAAATTTAAACATGACAAACAACTATATAATATATAGGTATAATATTCACGGTGAATGGTCTTTCGAAATAAATATTTGTTTAATAGTATATAATTATTGGGCTATACGTAAAATTTTGTTTTAAGGGCTGTTATAACAAAATATATTCAGTAATATTTTATTAAAACTTATATACAAATATTTCAAAAAAGTGGGATCTATATTAAAAATTAAGAACTCAATGAATTTAATAAAAAAAAAGTAAATAGCAAACAATATTTAAAAATAAAAACATACACATATATATGTATATATATACGTTATGATTAAAAAAGAACGAGAATTTAAAAAAAAAGCAAATTTTAATTTTTAATAATTTTCGTTATTATCGTCTGCAAATTACTCTCCTCCTGCGGCAATACATGCATGCCAACGCTTGATCCAATTTTCCATACAAGTTTTATTAGCCGCCGAAGGTATGGCCTTTAGTTCACGCAGCGAATTCTCTTTTATGGCCTCTATATTCTCAAAACGCGTTCCTCGCAATGACAATTTGAGTCGGTGGAAAAGGAAAAAGTCACACGGGGCCATATCTGAAGAGTATCTGGAGGAGGAGTTTTTGGTCGAAAACTGCGACACAACCAACGCTGTGTGAGCCGGTGCGTTATCGTGGTGTAAAATACATGAGTTTTCCTTCCATAAATCTGGCCTCTTTTAGCGAATGGTCTCACGCAAACGACGCATAACGGCAAAATAATAATTCTTATTGACCGTTTGACCGTCCGGAAGGAATTCATTATGCACCACTCCACGAATATCCAAGAAAATAGTCAGCATAACCTTGATTTTGGACTAACTTTGGCATTCTCTTTTCGGTTTCGACTCACCTTCGAAGCACCATTCGGTCGATTGTTGTTTGGTGTGCATCTCAAATTCATAGATAGATAGACCCATGTCTCATCACTAGTTATGATGCGTTCGATGAATGTGGGGTCACTATCTGCGTTGGAAATCATCTCTTTGGCCACATCACAACGATGCTTTTTTTGAATGAAATTCAGCTAAAAATCGCCACACGAAAATTTTTCGACTTTTTTGCATAGACGCCAAACAAAAACTAATCGTACGATATGCGTTAAACTTTGACAGAATGTGTATAATAGTGTTGCCAGCGTGAAAATAAAATTACCGATTGGATAAGCGCGGGAATTCAAAAAATAAAATTTCTCGTTCTTTTTTTGATCTTTTTTGATATATATATATATATATATAAAGCAGTTCTAAGGACACAGTCTTAAGCAATAACAATTTTTTTTATAAAATGATAAATACTTTTTAAAATATATACAACATTAATAAAAAAAAAAAATATAATACAAACGAATTCTGAAAACAATAGTCAATTTTATACTATCTACTTAACAAATTTACGTACGTAATTAATAAATACAAAAACAATATACAAAACTAAACTTTTTTAATTCTAATATTAATTTAATAAAAAATAGGTGTAATTTTATATACATAGTATAGCTTTAATTTTAAAATAATAAAACGAAATTATTAACACAAAAAGGACACATATAGTTTGCATAAATACACACACAATGCACTACTAACAAAGTAACGTGTTTTGTACATATAAAATTTAAATGAATAATTTTAAATAAACATTTATGGTATATAATAAAAACAATAACAAATAGTTTGAAATGTTCCACCAAAACGCTAATGAAAATGCTAACATTTCGAATGATGAGAAGGCAGGCGCGCAGTATGAACGCCGTGTGATTTAGACTGTTAAACGTGTGAATATTGCATTATGTGAAATGGTATGACAAAGTAACGTATATAGAGTTATATACATACAGACATTTATGTTTTACATAATATAGATATATGTAGATAGTTATATTTTAATTATAAGTGTACTTTATGCCAAGTCTGTCAATACAGATAATTAAACGTACTGGATATTTTAGATTGAAGTGGTGAGTCCTCCTCGGGTGCCAAATCACTACCGATGTGACCAGCTAATCGTCTGCCAAGGGAAGCTTTATATAAACGGCTATCCAAGCCATCCCCTACCAAACCTATATTAAATTTAACATTCAAAATGCACATAAAATTAAATATATAAAAAAATTGTCTTTAAAAAATTTTTTAGATAATAAAATTAAATAAACATAACAGTACGTTATAAAAATTACCAAAAACCAATTAAATTATTATACCAGTTCTAATTCATACATCTTTAATAAACATATAGATAACTAATAAATAGTCCAATTTATACATAAATTAACAGCAAATTAAACAGTAGGAATCGTGATTTATAAATATGGAGCTATACACAGTTCCAATAACAATTGCAGAAATAATTTGGAACTTAATATTAAAATATATATGTGCACATCTAAACAAGGTTGTGCTATATCATAATATGATTATATTATCTTAATTTATCTAAATTAACTAAAATTTCTTTAAAAATATATTATGAGGTATGAGTAGCTTAGCCAGGATTATGCCCAGGGAGCGCTATACTTGAACATTTTTTTCATCAAATTATTTTAGCAATTAACTAAATTTATTATAACAAGAGTTACAGCATTGTACCAAGGTTGGAGATATAATATCACTTAAATATAATACGAGTGAAAGGTTTGTGCCAATAGTGGAGCGGAATAACCGAGAAAACATTATTTGTCAAAGTTTATTTACAGTTCAATTAATTAAATATAATAAGAAATGTATTTACATATATTAATATGTATATCTAGAAATACTCTAATTTGTCAAAAACAGAAATTAGCTCTTTCAACAATTTTTTTCGACAATTGTGATATATTGTGTAATATATTGTGAAGAGGAATATGTTCACTGGATCTCTCTCTTTAAATACACTACTACAAGGTCTAATTTTTATTATACTGAATCTTTTGTAACTAAATATCTGTAATACAGAAATATATCATATAAGAGAGACGGATACTGCAAAATAAAAATTTGCTAAAAGAAAGGTTTCCAAAAAAAATATACTGACGTTCAGTATAAGGACTTGAATTACTTAAATTACTCTGACTATTTTTGAAAGCATGTAAATCTTATGAGAAAATGCTTCAACACCAGCTTCATTAATGATTACTAATGTTGCCTGAAGACGATGAGTCATCAAAACACATTAAACACATAAAGGCTCAGTTAGTCGGTACGTATCGTAAGAACTTAAGCGAACTGTACAACCAACCACACCTGTGTAATTGGTAGAATGAAATAAACAAATTTCGTCGCTTTAATTTGTTTTCGTTTCTGCCAAATATACAGGTGTGATTGGTTGTGCATTTCGCTTTGACTTAAGTTCTTACGGTACGTACTGACTAACTGAGCCTTACCTGCGACACTCATCGAAGAAAAAACTAGATTACTGCAAAACACAACCAATTGACTTTTAAACAAAGATATGAGTGCGCTCTACACGTTGATGAACAAGCATGAAGACTAGAGAGTTCAGAATTGCATAGATAAGTTAAAAATAACCCAAAGGAATTTTTGAGCATGTTCGCCTTCCTGATGTGGTGATGAAATCTGGTGTTACCAATACGAACCGAAAATAAAGTATCAGAGTACGGCGTAAAAGTTTCTGTTAGTGAATTTTTCGCAGAAGATGAGACAGAGAACGCGGAATATTCTCTGAGAGTTTTATAACGGTTGTGGTTTAAAACGACTTCGACTGGAATATCAAAAATCGGCTAATTGTTTTTTTTGGTACAATAATGCATAAATGTACGTGTATTCTTAAAAATCAAAATAAAAATGTTTAGTAATTTTCTCTCATTGTATTTGATACAGGCCGTGTATCAAATGATACTGAATGGGAGTCTTCATTTAAGCTATTCCAACTTAGTTTACAAAATACAGTCAAACTTCCATAGCTCGAACTTCTATAACTCGAATTTTCTATAAATCAGTGCAACAAGGTTTCTGCTTCCATAACGCAAACTTCTATAACTCGAATTTCTCTATAACTCGAATAAAGATATTGTCACGTGCCAATAGGAATATGAGAAAGTGAATTTTATAAGTCGAATTTTTGTTTTAAGTATAAATGCATTTCGCTGTTAGGGGAGATCCCTTTTTCCGAACCAAATGTTTAATTTTTTCTTTTTTATGTTGATTCTTTGTGCAAATCCCAGTCGTTTTTATTTTACTTTACTATAACTACTGTGTTTTATTTGATTGAAAATAAATAAATATCTTAAAATGTTATTCTAGTTTCTTTCAAAAATAAAAAAAATATAAAAAAATTCTATAACTCGAAGTCTCCATAAGTCGCACCTTTTCTTTGCGAAATTATACTTCGAATTATGGAAATTTGACTGTATTTGTTTTAGCTGTTATATTTTAATTATACATATATAATATTAATAGATAATTTCATTTTAAATTATTTAAATGTTTAATATTTAAGCAACTTTGCTTCTCTAACATTTGTTTATTTTAGATTTCAAATTTTTTACTCTCATTATCTCTATAAATATCACGTAAACATCGCTTTTACCAGTTTGCTGTTAATTTTGTATATAATTGCACATGCATCTATTTATTAGACTTTTATATTATTATTCTTTATGGTTAATTTTGTTAGTGTAGTTAAATAGCAATTACACATACTCATAATATTATACGCTTTGTTTATATTTTAATTATTGCTTTCAATTTATATACGACTTAAGTTGTAAACATGCAAGTTGTTGAGTATTAAGATTATATGGGGAAAATGAAATAGTATTAACAATTTCCAATTCCAATCAATTTATTAAACATATTTTGTGAACATTTTAAGTGGAGATATATAGAACAATTCATATCATCTATAAGTAAATATATAATGAATGAGACACCAATTGAAATTTTGCGTGCAAAATTTAAATTAAAGAGGTCAATTTGTTGGTAATGTGATATTATATAAATTAGAGGTATCAAAACGATCGCTTTGTGCATGTTCAAAGTATTAGAATCACAACAATAGTGTATCATTACAATGGAATCAGAAATAACACCGCATCTTTTGTGAATGACATTTGACTTCATATATATTAAATCAACTTCAATTTCATTATGATGGATCTCTTGTTTTTCGTTTGTAAAATTAAGTGCTTTTCACGACAATATCACATTTTTCTTTCTTTAATTAACTTAAATTAAGAGTTCAAAAAATTAAATCACATTATAAATGCATTATTCTTATCTTTATATTGTAAAGAATCATTTAAATAAGCATAAAAATATAGACGTAATTATACATTCTCATATAAACGAGTATATACGTAAAAATAAAATACAAAAAAAAAAAATATTAAAATTTAAAAGTTTATTTAATTTTCCTAATAAAACAATTTTTATTAATTTTATTACATTTTAAATAAAAATGTTATAAATCATTATAATTAAATTAAACTTATTTATTTTTGTGCTATCCTAAATTTATTGTTCAAAATGTATTCATACCAATAATAATAATAATAATAATAATAATAATAATAATAATAATTTTAATAGTAAAAATATATTGATACGGGGAGAGCAACTATAAGAAAAAATGTTGTGCAACTAAATAAATATATTTATATATAATCTTTTTACACTATATAAAATAATTAAAGGATTTATTAAAAATAAATATAAAAGTGTGATGTATATCTATTTTATACAGCGTACATACCATCAATATTTTTTGAAGGGAACAAACATACTCCCATAAGAAACAGTATTGAACCAATTAAAAACACTGCTATCATAATAACAGTAAACGCATCGAATCCACCGATTGTTAGTGGCATTGGTTTAGGTGGCTCCTGTGGTGGTAGAGGACATGATGCTTCGCAATCTGTACAGGAACATGCTGGAGTATTAGCCTATTGGAAAAATTAAAAATTTTAATTAAGTTAAATATTATGAATTACAAAAAAAAGTGTATATATATACAGGTTTAGACGACTAAAGTGTTACCAACTTCACACAAGTATAGCTGACAAACTGATATTGCCAACTATGTGAAATTCATACGAATGAAAACTGTTTATATTGTTTACAGGCTTCCAGAAGTATTTGCGTTTAAATTTTATATAACAAAAATTAATCGAAATAGAATCCAAACGTAATAGTGTGATTGCGTTATATTTGTCTGGAAAATCACAACCAGCTATTGTTCGTGAGCTCAAACACCCCAAAGTGAATAAAATGTTGGTGTATCGTAACATAAATCGTTATAATATAATATAATAGTGGACAAAATAAAAAAACAACAATATTGCCTGAAATGATTCGGAAAGTGAAGACTTTCAAAACTTTCAATTTGAATGAAATCCACGTCGTAGTGGTAATCAAAACGCCCCAGAACTGAAAATATCCAGCGATGCATCCAACACATATTCCAAAATGAGCTCAAGACTAGACCTTACAAGTTTCAAAAGGCACAAGATCTTACATCAAAGCAACAAAAAGTTAGACTCGAAAGAGCACAGGCGTTGTCACGCTTCCACGAACGTGGCCAATTCCCAAACATTGTTTTCACTAATGAAAAAAATTTCCCCATTGAGCAGTTCATAAACTCTCAAAATCGTATTTACTTAACTGAACGCACTGCCGTTGCAAACATTTCGATCGTAGGCAATAGGCGTTCCAACAAAACTCGGCACCGTTCTCGGTCTCATAAAGCTCGTGTGAACCAAGAATGGTTAAAAAATCCATATCGTCCAGTCTACACAATGACTTTCGAATTCGTCAGATGTAAATCCGATGAACAATTCCATCTGAGCCATTTTGAAGACCAAGGTGAGGACTAAAAAATATGCCAGTATTGATGCGCTGAAGAAAGCCATTATTTAGGAATAGGCCAAAATACCGAATTAGCACATTTATTAAGCTTGTAACTCATTTTTTAACCGTTTGAAGGCCATAATCAAGGCAAAAGGTGGATATAGAATGAATGGTTCTAAAATTTTGATTTCTTCCATAAATTTTTGTAATATTAATCAATAAAAAATAATTCCACACAAAAAAAAATATGTTCACATGAATAGGTAACACTTCAACCCTGTATATATTTTATAAATATGTATTAATAAATTGGTTTAACGTGTTTGACAGCTATATACATATTTTCATTAATACCAATAGTATCACACTAATACAAATAAATCATTACATTTAAAATTATTGAGCATTTAAACTTAGAAAAATGATTTTATATTCATACAGGGACGCAGAAAACTCAAGAACTGAGAGTAATCTTAATTTATTAATTACTCTATGAACTGTAAAAGTCAAGTGTATGGTAAAGGATATACATATAAACATTCAAAGCAGCCTTAAGTAGACTCCTTTTACAGAACAGAAAGGATATTAAGATAGTATTGATCAAGGTGCCATTTCAATAAAAATCACCTCTCTAAAAAACTGCTGTAAAATTAAAATTTAAACATCTAAATATATTCAAATAATCTCATCAATACCTCTTCAGTGAATATTTAAAACTAACCAGCAGTTCACTTATCAAACCGTGGGAAAGAGATATCGTAGATATTATTTCTTAGAGAGCTTAGTTAACACCTAGATTTTTTATTAAATATTCGTCATATTAGCATAGATACCGTACAGAACCCTTCGTTTGACCAGGATCAATGGAGCTTTCAAAAGACACTATTTCTCAGTAATAACTCTTAAGTGACAAAAGGTATATTGATGTTTATTTTATCTACCCCCAATGAAAGATTAGTGGCCCGTCTATCTAATTCATTGACCGTACTATTTCTGTCAATATCGTTATGCCATGAAGCTTTTATAGCCATATTCTAAAACCGGTGCTAGTATTATTAAAAACTGCAAAGCAATTCTGGACTATTTTTGATCTTAACGCCATCACTGAGTTCATTTATTTGATAGCTGTCTGGTTATCTGAGCACTTATTTATAATTATGTTGGTGACTTCTAAATAAACAGTGTGTGTTTTTAAGTAGATAATTACTGATGATTTGATTATTAACACCTCTGCCCGATGAAAAATGTATTGGTCACCAAAACTATAGGGATTAGGAATTAAGAATTGAAATATCTCATTGTAAAGTTTCGAATTAAAAAAGCTTTGAAGTATCTAAGCTACTAAAATATTTATAAATCTATTGAATAATTAAACAAAAAATAATTATACTTTTGCCATTTGCATACAAATTTAAAACCGAAATACATTATATAACTTAAAAGTCATCATCTCCCAATATTTACTTTATGATAATTTTATTTAAAAGATATTTTTCAACAGAGTTCAATTTTTGCACAATTAATAATGATTTTATATAAAAAAATCGATTTATACATCTCTACATTTTAAGTTGAATTGTTTGCGATTTGTTATGCACATAAATTAAAATCGATTAAATTAAATTAAATAAAATTAAATACTTACGTTCAATGAGCTATTGCAAGGAACTGTAAGTGAATTTAGTGGACGTTTGTTGTCAATTATTGACGAACTATTCTCATGTTGTATATAGTTTATTTGAAAAGGAACATATGGATTGCCATCTGTGTTCCCCATATATTCAAACCATTTTGTGGGGCTACAGCGTGATGCTTGATATGTACCGCACATTATATCGAAAGCTAACTGGCCAGTGGCTGGTACGGATACCTTAAATGAAATATACAAAGATCGTTTAATATATATTTAGTTACTTATTCATTAGTGTGCATATCCGATGAGAAAAAAAAGTTTTGAAAAATAATGGAAATAAACCATTATCAACTGAATAAGTTTAAGAGATTAGCATACTATTTACCTGTGAGCACGATTTATAGGTGTTATTTAAATATTCTGCCGTTATATGTAAATCAATGGAATCAATATACTCCATCTCTATTTTCACAAAAAAAAAAAATATATATATATATTAAATATTAATTGAGTTGGTGTGTAACACTCTTACACAAAATATACGTCTTACCATTTTTATTTTTTTTCGTGGAAACAATCTTTATAAACTCTGATTGTTTTGGTGAGCACGAAAAATCGCATATATGACGCAATAAATTTGCCATACATGACGGACAACGATCCAAAAAGTTAGCAGCTAACTTTACGTTTTTGTTCAGAATTTCGACCTGAAATAAAAATAAAAATAAAAATTAAAACAAATTTTTAATTAATTTTTCAAACGAAATTTGTTTTTAGAAGATTATTTAAACATTAGCTTACCTGTTGACTGTCACAACAAAATTCAGTAGCACCATCTTCAACCAGAAAACCGCAGCGCTCCTTTAATAAATTAATGCCATCCGGCGACATTTGTTTTGCTGTTCCATTATAAGGACAATACTGATTCAGATCATCACTATTTGTATTGCAAACGCCATACCAAACGCAGTCCTGTAATTAAATAAGAAATATATATTTAATATTCATTACATTACAGAAAGCACTAAAAATTAATGGATTATGCTATACGCAATGCTATCCTAATACTCTATTTAAGATAACTATATGTTACTCTATAAAAAAAACAAGAAGGGTTTAAAGTGATGATTCAGTCTTCGAATCATTACTAAATTAATTCTTTAAAATGTAATGAATTTCACAGGTAAGGTTAAATTTGAACAGTTATCTTGAGGATCAATTTATATAGCTTTATATGTTACTGTATAAAAAAAACAAGAAAGGTTTAACTTTTCTTTAACTTTCAAACAACACGGTGATTGAGAACTTCAAGTAAACACGACTTCGAAATTTTATATAGAATATCTTAAATCAGTGGTTTCCAATACCTGGTTAAATTAAGTAGGTATGGATACATAGCTTGTAGTTTATACACTGAGACCTCACTTATTAGAAAATAAGCACAAAAAATCTTCCAAGTACTTACATACTTTTTTTATAGCAGATATAATATACCTATACAATTCCAATATTATTATTCCTAAACTTTGTGGTTTATACTAAAAACAAAAATATCATAGTGGTCCTTGATTAAAAACAGGCTGGAAACCACTGCCTTAAATGTAAAAAAATCCAGAAGAATAAATCTTCTAGACATTACATATGTATATATTTTACACATTATATCGGAGATGCATAAAGCATATTAAAATAATCATACAGTTTATTATACTTAAACTTTGTGGCTCCTAATAAAAACAAAAATATCACAGTCTTTGATTAAAAACAGGCTGAGAACCACTGCCTTAAATGTTAAAAAATCCAGAAGAATAAGTCTTCTAAGTATTACATATGTATATATATTATACATTATATCGGAGATGCATTAAGCATATTAAAATAACCACGCAGTTTATTATACTTAAAGTACATATCGTTTAATAATCCCATTTCGTATATAATTTCTCAATATAAAAAGATTGTAATAAGTGTTTACATGATGCTTACAACTACCAAATTTTTCAGATGGTCCAAATAAGTTCTTGAAGTATCCTGTCTAGCCCCCTCAACTATTTTAATTTTATTTACTTAATTATCGCTGTTTAACAATATTTAAAATTAATTAATAAAATAATTTTTATTTTATCTACATTTTTATTGCTTGTGTGATTGAGCACCAAAAAAAGAAAAATAATAAATGCATTAAAACATAAATTATTTTTATAAATAAATAAGACTTAAAATCCTATCTAAGACAAATTAGAAAAGAGTCACTATAAAAATCAGATCATACTTTAAGTGTGTGTAGAGATTTTCTTCTCATATATAAAAATAGAGAGCAGACTCATTATTATAATATTTATTATATTATTATGAAATATTATATCATTATAATATTTCTATTTAATATATTAATTAATACATTAATATTAATATTTCTTTATTTAATACAATTTCCTTGATACTATAGAAGAAACGAAAAACACAATACAAGGAATAATGCCTTCATTCTCAATGTTCTCCAAGATAAAACAAAAACATACTGGTCAAAATCTCAGAAATTATGTTACATATTTGAATAACTTAACTTCAATACCAATTTTTAGTCTAATAATATAAAAAAATTTACTTAATTTTAATGCGGAATCGGTTAATTTATTGTAATGAGCTTAAAAGTTGTAGTAATTCAAAGTAGATTTTTTCCTGGAAACCTTATCTTGAAAAAATAGAGCATTTTTTTTTATTTCTCATCTATATATTATTACGTTACAAAAATTTTTGCTACGACGTATAAGTAGTGATAAATAAATATAATTATATATAATTGCTTTTCACGTTGTGGAAGAAAAGTATGGAGATTAAAAGGTTCAATCCCTGAAGGTTTTAGTTTTCTTTAACACCCTACATCTCAATATATGTTTGGAATAATATATCATCATCTGCATCTATAAGTAAACGCCTTGCATAAATATATCTCTATTTACAAACATGCTGAAGTATCTGTAAATAGATTTTAAGTGCAGTTCATTTTTTATACCGATTTTGTAGCTGATTTTATAACGCATGTTGTTTTACTTCCGCTTAAGGGTTCAGGGTTCAGGGTCACACACCCAATTATTTATTGAATTGTTCTATAGATAACTAAATACACATTTGCTAACTAAAGAAATCAACACTTATGTTAACTAAACATCGTAGCATATCTGTTAAAGCAAAAAATAATTATAATTCGCAATTATTTTCTCATGTTAATTTTTATATAATTTCTTCATAATTTTTTTTTATATCAATATCAAAATCAACCTGCATAAAGCAATTATTAGTTTTCTTAGAATTTTTTGCATAAATAAACAATTAGTTGCTAACATGTCGGTATCTGTATATGATTAATCATCACATCACCGACATTGATCTGGCGTATTCTAGCATGATTCACGTTTTAGTTAATATCCAAGAAAGATTTAGCAGAAATTCTAGCTATTTCAGAAGACATAATGAGGAATATTTTATGATAAGTTTTGGATTTTAAAAGCTGTGTGCACAATAAAGACTACAATCGGTAACAATGCTACCAAAAAATGTTCAACTTTGTCACATTAGAAAGTTTTACTAAAGACAAAAATGAGTTTATGTGTGGTTAAGAGGTTAATGAGTGATATAAGCTCCGAAACAAGTTCCTGTCTAGTAATCGGTTAAGGTTTTACCATTAGCTTTTGGGGTGCAAAAGAAATTTTGCCTCGTTTTACATCTAACGATGGGATGTAAGGGGTCGTGATACATCTCAAACAATCTCTCCGACTCGTCCTCCTCGTTGGTACACCCTGCACTGGCAACCAAGTTCGCGACGGTATAACTATGTCAACATAGTAAGCGCATAGTAGAAAATTACTATGGCTAAATGGCGAGATATGACAGGTTTGAAAGCCATGTCTGCATATAATTAAATCCAAGACACCGAACTATGGAAATTGAAGGTTGATATCTTACGATCTCCGAAACTACAATTATCAACAACACAAAATTTCGAACGAAGGGATTATAACGGTCATAGAGGAATATTTTGCTGACCCACCAGAAAAATCACAACAGAGATAGGATAGTCGGAAGTTTTATAAAGTTTATTAAAACTAACGGATTTTACACTAAAAAATACATTTAGTTGTTCGTTTTGCGAATTTATAGAACATAGTTCTGTTCTCAATTTAATGTCACCTCAAGTTCAAAAAGTTCTAACAGATAAAAAATTTACATAAAAACGTACAAGTATATTTATATGAGCATATAAATATATAGCATATTACTACTATATTATATCTATTATAAATATAATGAATTTTTTTCATAAAATTAAAGTAAATGTCTAAAGTTTTCATTATATTTAATGTTTAGTATTTTATGTTAAAAGGAGTTTGATTGCCTGATAATGTCGGTAATTTACTGCCCTGGTAACTACTAAATAATTTATCTCAAAGTATAGAAAACGACAAAAAAAAACGTTAAATTAGTATAATATTAGTGTCGCTTGAGGCTCCGAAAATAGTGCGCTGCCCTAAACACTTAACGAATTTCATGTTTATTTGTATAGTAAAACGAAGGAATTGCGTGAGAACTACAAATGCAACTGAACTTTATTCTCATAATTATAGTAAGCACCAGTATTCATCAATTTATTTTTCAAATTAAATTAAATATACTTGAATCATATATGCCGCACACGTTTTCATGCACATATAAATCAGCGAAATGAATATAATAAAAAATGTGTTAAAGGTCAGATATGGTATTTTGTTATTGAACGTCCAAATACTTGAACGAAACTTTTTATTTCATAAATATTATTTATTGCAAATTTATTTTCAAAATTATTTGCAAATATTTTAGATTGTTTAACGTCTACGCCATACCATCAAATAAAAATGGAATGGTTTTTCTCAATGTAAAATGCAAAAATATATATCTTAAAGAATAAAAAATCAGAACTTATGTTTTATCTTTCTTAACTTCTAAGTTAAAAGATATGATATTATATGGGTTATATACAAAGAAAGGGTTAGAAGTTTCTTTAATTTTGCGATCCCTTCCAAAAAAAATAACATTTGCCGAGCCATCAAAATAGGCATTATATTGACATATCTAATGTAGAAGTAAAGTTTTTGAATAATCAGTCATCATTTTGTTTTTAAAAGAAAAAAAAAGTAGCTAGAGTTCCAAAAATCTGATTTATAGCCAACCAATTTTCTCACAATTTATGAAAATTCGTCACGCTAAGCATTATCTGAATGAAAGACTTCCATTTTTTTAGTCTATGCAATGAAAAGCAATACTACTCTGTAGAATTGATTATTTTTACTTTTAAAATATGTGCATATAACTGATCTGAAATATACTGGATACATCTAAAACGATCTTCCAAAAGATCCAGGAATTCAGTTCTTAAATATTTTGAACATCATTATTAATCTTCATGGAAAATTCCACTGCTTACTTACTGCTTGGTCCGTGTAATTCTAATACAACTGTTTCGTTTACGCCAAAAACTCATCCAAATTATAGATGAGCGTCGAATAACTTCATGTAATATAAATTGTCCACAATTGAGTAATGATTAAAAATCATTTCTATCTTAGGCAAATTTTTTTAAATTAATTTTAAGTATTTACAATATTGAACATTAAATATTGTACACAATACAACAAAACACATATCTCAAAAAAAGCATTTGATACATTTTAAAAGTTATGCTAATTTGTTTTTATCAGACCAAATGCTGTTTTTTTACAACTCTGAAAGAAGAAATTACTGGTCTATTAAAAAATAAAAAGCTATGTAATTAAAATGTTGCTAAAACATCAATCAAACGTTTTATATTAATTTGAAAAACAAAAAGAAAGAAAAGACTACTACTAATACTCCTTCTGCTTTGTTTCTGTCCAAAACACACACGGCGCCGCCTTAACATTTTAGGGAATCTCTTTTTTGAGGACCTTGGCGAA